CACCCCAGTTCTTCTATGCAAAAATAAATGAATAAATCTTTAAAAATAAATAAAAATCAAGACATCCTGTCTTTTCTCTGGTGAGATACTTTTAAGATTTCTCTCTCTTTCTCTTTCTCTCTCTCTCTCTCTCTCTCTCTTTTAACTTAACCCCCTGAGCCACCAGGGAGGCCCCTTTAGAGAACATTTTAGACTTGCTACAGTGTTTTAGTAGTTTGTAAACTACTCACACACTTTTTATAAAGATTTCTTTCTCTTAAGTGATTTTTTTTTTAAACTTGGGTTTCTCAAATCTGCATGCAGATAATATCTTTCATTAGTTGTGGAAAATTCTTACCTGTGCCCCATTCTGTCTCCTCCTTTCGGGACTCCATTTAAGCTAGTGTTAGGCCTGCAGAGTGAGTCCTCTACATCTCTTATTTGTGTTTTAAATCTTTTCTCTGTCCATGTTGCATTTTGGGTAATTGTCTAACCTGTCCTCTAGTTTATTAATTCTGTTCAGCTATGTCTAATTTCTTAAACTCATCCATTGCACTCTATTTCATTCATTGTGTTTTTCAGCTTTAGTTCTCCATTATTTTTCTAGAGTCATTTCCTTGTGGCCAAAGAATATACTCTATGCCAGCGTACAGGGAATGAAAAACAACCAAAAGAAACTAACTATAGAAATGGAACCAAAAACTTTAGTAACTAAAATGGTGAGACACAGAATATATTGATATAGCAGACTGGTTTGGTGACTGGTTTCATACTATATTTCTGTCCTTCTGCCTCCCTGTACCTGCAGCAGTCCTTACAGAGGATTGGTAGCAGACGTTGTCACCCTTTCAGAGTCCGCAGGCTGCCCCTGGCGTGGGAGCTCCCCCAGCTGGCAGGTTGCACTTTCTGTTCCTATTTCCCCAAAGGAGTAAAGCACAATGATTATCTGAAGTACAGTAGAGAGACCTGTGGTTTTATTCCTGTTCACAGCATGGCTTTTCTGTTTGGTTTTTAATATATAGATCTAGTCTTGTCTTTTTTTAAATATCCGTAGTTTTCCCATCACCAGAGTGTCCACAGTCCCCCACCACACTCCACCGGGGCCCTCTCTTCCATGATCCCACTCTCCCTCCTCTGCTCTCCCCACTCCCTCTCTCCCTCCCTGCTCAGTGTCTCGGGTCTGCCATCTCAGTCTGCTTCCAGGAAGCAGAGTTTGTCTTTGTCTGACCCTTTGTTTAGTTTCTCAAGATTCTACAAATAAGTGAAACCATATGATGTTTATGTTTTTCCCCTGGCTCACTTCACTGAGTATGATCCCTTCCAACCCATCCATGTTGCCACAAATCTCGTGAGTTTAGCTTTTTTAATCACTGAGTATCATCCATCATGTATATGTACCACATCTTCTTGATCAGCTCAACCAATCTAGGGCATTTAGGTTAGTTTCCATATCTTAGCTAATGTAAATAGTGCTGCTGTAAACACAAGAGTGCAGGTTTCCTGTCAAATTGGTATTTTTGTGCTCTCTGAATAGATACCCAGGAGTGGAATTGCTGGGTCATATGGCAGATCCATTTTTGTCTTTTGAGGAACATCCAAACTGTTTTCCAAGGGGCTGGATCAGTCTGCATTCCCACCCACAGTATAAAAGTGTTTCTTTTTCTCCCCACCCCTGCCAGTAATTGTTGACTGCTGAAGTTCATGGTTGAGGCCACGTTTGGGTCAAAACCACACCCACAAGAGCAGTATGTGTGGAGAAAAAAAAAAGAAAAGACTTTTCAAGACGTGAAACAAAGAGTTTCACTGCGAGTCCTGCAGACCTAATGCGCTTTTATGGTGACCAACGCAAGAAAAATTACTTTGGGCTGGTCAACCACGGGTGAAACTTGCAAAGCACGTTGGGCGCCAAGCTGTTATAGAGCAACCCTGATATTAAACGGGTTCCTGGCTGTGGGTCCTCACCCGCGCGCTTTAAAGGGACTTACGAATACTCTACTACAGACACACACAAAAGGTTAATAAAAGGTTTATTTACAAGAGAAAAGGAAATAAGGAAAATGTACAACTCAGGGAGAAAATAGGGAAATAAAGTCTTTAATGCGTCCTACCCAATCCGAGGACCTGGAAACCCAAAGTCACTCTCAGAGCTGGCCAGACGCTGCGAGCTGGCGGAGAGCCAAAAATGGGGTAATCCCCAAAGCCCACGTGTCTGCCTTTTATATCCACCTGGCTGCTTAACCCCACCCTCAGGTCCCAGCCACCTTCCCTTTGGTGGTGATGGGATTTGGAGTTCCCAGTGTCTTTGGCTTTGACCTGGGGTGGGGTGGAGTCCACAAAGCCTATATAGAATTAGCTTTGGGACATCCTTTTCTCCCTAACAGGTTGTCCCCTCTTCTGCCCATCTTTTGGTTGGGTTATTTGTTTTACTTTTGTTGAGTTGTATAGCACTTTGTAGATCTTCAATATCAATCCCTTATCAGATGTATGGTGTCAAAATACTTTCTCCCATTCAGTAGGTTCTCTCTTTGTTTTGGTCACTATTTTGCTGTATAGAAGCTTTTTAGTTTTATACTTTCCCAGCTGCTTATTTTCTCCTTTGTTTTCTTTGCTGGTAGAGATGAGTGCACAGGGATGCTTCTGAGGTTTAAGTATTTTGCCTATGTTTCATTCTTCTATCTTGTTTTTAAGATTGACTATATTTTGTTTTTCTTTTTATCATTGTTGTATATATTGAGTACAAGGGGGCTGATTATCAAAGAAGGCATTCACTCTACCATCTTGATCAGAATTCCTTTGACAACTATTTTCATTTTTTTCCAGGCATTAAATAACTATCTTTTCTTGATAGGCCATTGACATATCAACAGAAGCAGTGAAATGAGAAAGCACGGTTTCCTTGTCTACAGATTGTATTCAGGAAGTGACATATTCTATAGATTCCAAGGTGCCGCTGGATTATATGACATGCAACATGACAAACCTCTAGAGAGAAACATCGCCCGTGAAACAGACAAGGCACCAATAATAATGGTCAATGCTTTTGTGTGCCACCCACTGCGCTACGTTACCTAAACATGGTTTATGTGATCCTAAATCATACAAAAGAAATCAAATTGCTTTAGAAGTAAATATTATAATAAACACATGACTCACTGCTTCACTGCTCGGGGATACCTCCATCTCTGTCTAATCCTCAGTCTGTGCTTGTCAGTCAGTCAGTGCTTGTCAAACAAGTTTGGATTTTTTCCCCAAGCCATTTCAGCCTGATGGAAGGCCTTAAAGTATCAGGCTCAAGTTTACAAGTAGCTCATACCACACAAAAGTTACCCTGCAAGTTCAACAACACCCAAATTAGTCTATACTCTCTTCAACAATTCTCTAAAAAAAAAAAAAAGTTAATCGGAACATTTTCAATTTATGTTTTATCTCTTGCAAATTAATAATAGTTTGTGTGCCAGCCCTTACCACAGACCTCTCTCCTACCTCACTTTGAGTAGAACTAACTTAAAATATTACCATCTATTCCAGTAGTTGGAAGACTAGAAAAAGTCAAAATTACTTTGTCATCAGAAATTTTATTTCTGGAAATCTTGGGTTAAAATAAAGGCACAACTGGGCCTCCCCTGGTGGCACGGGTGATTGAGCACAGCACTGTGAAGCTGTCTGCAGCCTCTGCAGCACCGGTTCGATCCCAGCCAGACGGCGAGGGTCCCACATGGCGCAGCAGACCTCTCCTATCTCAACCGCTGCTCCCCTCAGCAGTGTATTTCTTCAGTCTGCCTGTTCTGTTCCCCACTCTGTCTCTGGTGAATCCTCTCACGCTCCCATGTATCTGGCCTGTACTCTGGTTCTTGTATAAAAATACATAAATCTTTATTAAAAAAATAAAATAAAGGCACATCTGATCCATTCTAGGACTCTTTGCTTCCTGTAATGGATATGAATAATAAATATATTATTTTTGAACATTTCTGGCATGGGGCAGTTCTTTTCCCTTTACTTTGCTGGTAGCAAAAGTCGGGTGTTTGCAATAGCTACAATATTAATCTTCTAGCCTTTTATTGATAAGAAGCAAAAGCAAAACAAGTACAAGTAACTTTTTTTTTATCCTTTTCAGAGAAAATTATTTTATTTCAAGAAAAATAGGGCCTGGGTTTTTAATCTCTGACTGCTCATCAAATTACTTGAATGCTTATATCTGAGCAAGGGAAATGAACAGAGATGAAATGGGCTGTTAAATAACTGTTCTTACATTGCTCGATTTTTCTCCTTTCAGGTATCAATCATGGAGATCTTAATGACCATAACATTTTAGTAGAGTCCAGCAAGTCAGCCTCTGGAGATGCTGTATATCAAGTGTCTGGGATTTTAGACTTTGATGACATGAGCTATGGCTACTATGTGTTTGAAGTAGCTATCACCATCATGTATATGATGATTGAAAGCAAGAATCCTATACAAGTAGGAGGTCATGTCCTTGCAGGCTTTGAAAGTATAATTCCACTGACAACTGTGGAGAGGAGTGCTTTGTATCTGCTAGTGTGCAGTCGTTTTTGTCAGTCACTTGTCATAGCTGCATACTCTTGCCAGCTCCATCCAGAGAACAAGGAATATATCATGATTACTGCAAAAACCGGGTGGAAACACTTACAGCAAATGTTTGAAATGGGCCGTAAAGCTGTCGAAGAGATCTGGTTTGAAACTGCCAAGTCCTATGAATCTGGGATGCCCATGTGACTAGACAAATGCACATTAACCTGAGCAATGAAAAACTCGCTAGGACCAAATCTAATGTATGAGTGACTTCCCTGCACAGCTATCAGTGAGTTGGTGGAACAGATCAGTGCACATGAAAGCGCTAAGATCTTCAATGTCATGACTTTTTTTTTTAACTTAACACTACATGAGCAAACATGTCTTTCAGTGAATCTCACATCTTCAATGTCATGACTTTTTTTTTAACTTAACGCTACATGAGCAAACATGTCTTTTAGTGAATCTCACATGGGTAAAGCACACAGGATGATATTTTGAATCAGATGATTTCTCAAGTCCTATTCCAGAAACCTCCTCTCACCTCTCTGTTCTCCAGATTCCTGCCGCACCGTCTTTCTATGGCACATCACTTGGAATAGTGGACCATGGCTACACAGTCATTAGCCTGAGAGCTCTTTGAGGGCAAAGATATATCAAGATTTGTTTTTCCTTTTTTTTTTTTGGTCCTTTGTCCTTTCTTTTTACACCTGGTGTAGTGCCTTTCCACAGAAAGGTCTTTAAAAATATTTGTAAAATTGATGTGTTCTAGAAGAAAGTCTGGAGAAAATAAATCATGAATTAAGATGCCTCAGAAGAAAATACTGATGGTATTCACAAAAAAGTTATGACTTGTTGAAGAGGGTATTTGAAATTGAAACTCCAGAAATGGATGCTAAATGCATTGGAACTGCCAAGAAGCATATAAAGACATTCAAGAAAGGCCACTCATTCCTGAGGTACCTAAATAGTGTGGTTAATTTTCAGACTGATACTAAGAAAGTCCCTAAGCAGATATTTAAATTCTCTACAATTTATTTCTCTTCATATAAATAGGTAGTATTGGTGAGCTGTAGCTCACTGTATTCTTGACTTAAATGATACTACTGTATTTCTTTCATTGATTTCTATTCATGTTTGCTTTAGTGTGATTTAGTAAATGGCTGTTTACTTATTGCAGATTTAACTATATGGTATCTACAGATGATTCAGGACTATAACCCTAGCCATTCAAATACCCCTTTCAGTAGTTATCACTCTAAATATACGTAATGGTCACTGATTCTGTCCATCTTCCTATGAACTGACCAGTCTGTATTCCCCAAACAGGTCTCTCTCTAAGTTTTCTTACCTCATTCTTGTATTCCTCTTTAATTCCTCTTGCCCCCAATATCCTTATCTATTAAGTTGGGGTGATAATACTAGCTATGTCATATGTTCAGAGGCTCCAGCAGCAGTAGAAATTGCCTGGCTCACCCCCACCATGAGCTGCAGGGAGAGCTGGGTTTGACAAGCCCAGTGTGAGCCATGGGGAGAGAGGCCCCTGCTCTGGCATGCTGGTCATTCAAGCATGTGACCTGCTATTGGGTCCCCTGTGCTGCGTGCCCTACGCAAGACTATCAAGCCAGCCCAGGGCAGATATTTCACACACTACTGGGTGGGGATTTGGCTTTTGAATACCACCCAGAATTGTAAACAGACCAATCAGATTCAAGCTCCTACTGGTGCCATTCAAGATTTTGAGGCCATTGAGGAATTGTAAATAGACCAATCAGATTTGAGCTTAACATGGACCAATCAAGTCTTGGAAATGAAGCTGTAATGGACCCCTCAGTCTTGACAGGTGGATACTCTGAAGGGGATATAAGCTGAGGTTTCACAGGACTTCAGGGAGAACTTCCTCTGGACTTGACCTCTGCTAACCTTTGAGATCTTTGCTTCAGACCTCCAGCCCTGCATCTGACATCACCTACTGACTGGCACCGTTGACCTATGCCCAAGTTCTCTAAAAGAGCTGCCTGCCTTTGGCTTATGTCCAGCATCTCTAAGAGCTGTAAAACCGGCACCTGGTCTTCTGGCACCACTCACTGCTGACTTGTGTCCAACTATCTCTAAGAACTATCTGCCACTTCTGATCCTCCTGTGCCACCTCCTGGTGATGTTGCATCTGGTTCTGTCCATTCTGGCATCTGGCAGTGTCAGCCCGTTCTCCAGATAGGTGCTGTTGCAGCCGTGCCATCTCAGCACCTGTGATCACCTCCAGGTGCCATTGTGAGTTGGATCCTGGCCGACTGCTTATTGGCAACTAGCTTTAGGCTCTCATCAGAGGGACAAAGCCATCTTGCACCTTTGATTTGGACTACTGGATACTATCTGGGGTAGAACAGCCATTTGTGGCCTTAGAAATGTTTTCCTTTCCCTAATTTCCCCTTTGTTAACAAACCCCATTGTTATTACACCCTGATATCGAGTCTGTCTTGCAGTTGTAAGCACAGTGATGAGGACCCATGAACTGTGATATCTCCCAGGCTTTGCAGGGTTTCACATAGAGTTACCTACTGAGAATAATGCAAAGTGATTAGCATAGTGCTTGATACATAGTAGAGACTTGATCATTACTAAATAAAGGAAACATTCCTGGTTATCCAAACTCAAAATTTTGGAGTATCTTTTATTTTCCTCCCTCATAGTCAGTTAGTGACTTTCAGGAATTAGAATTTAGATCAGAGGGGCACATGTTGCCAGTGAGTGGCCATAGAAAGCAGGAGACTCAGCTGCAGGAGGGCAGAAGGAAGGAAGGGCAGCAGCTTGAACCCTCTCGATCTGCTAGGGAAGCGGGTGGAGAACCAGGCCACCAGGAGCAAGCATGTATTTTCAAGAAGGCAGTGGTGGAGGCTATAATCCAGCTCCAGTCACTGTCGCCTTTCCTAGGTAGAGGCTGTGGTCATTTCAGAGGCAGCAGTGGTAGAGGAGGAGGAGGATTTGAACTAGGAGGTGGCCCAGGCTTTAACAAAGGCCAAGATGTAGGACCTCCAGAAGGTGTAGTTTCACTAGAAGATTCTTACATCCCTGTCAAGATGTCATAGTTTGTAAATGTACCACAGAGGGCAATAAGGTACCTTATTTCAATGCTCCAGTTTATTTTAAAAAGTGAATTGGAAAAGTGGATGAAATATTTGGACAGCTTATAGATTTTTATTTTTAAAAATTGTCAGAAAACATGAGGGTATCTTCCTTTAAAAATTACTAGAGGGCCTCTCTGGTGGCACAGGGGTTAAGGTCTCAGCGCTATCAAGCTATCACCAGCCACTGTGGCCTGGGTTTGATCCCCGACCAGGGCGCTGGCGCCACCACATGGCGCAGCAGACCTCTCCTGTCTCGCCCACTGCTCCCCTCAGCAGTGTATTTCAGTCAGTCCGCCTGTTCTGCTCCCTACTCTGTCTCTGGTGAATCCTCTCACCCCCCACACCTCTGGACTATACCCCAGTTCTTGTATGTATAAATAAAATAAATCTTAAAAAATACTATATAAATGTTACATGGATGGTATAAGCTGCAGCCACTGCATGGGTGTTTACCTCCACCTCCAGGTGAGAGGGGGCCTACAAGGGGCAGAGTTGGGGGGAGTCTTGGAGGAGGTGGAGGAGGTGGGAGAGGAAATGGTTTTAGAGGTGGAAGGGGACGAGGGGATGGAGGCTTTAGAGGGAGAGGATATTGATGAAAAACTTCAGTTAACTTCTGTATTAACCTGCATGATCTGCTTCTGAGGATTAGAAACTTATTTCTAAAAAATCTCGAAGAGTGAACATTTTACTAAATGTTGATAATAAATATCTAAATACGAATTACTTATAGGAAAATATCAACATCATATAAACATGAATACAACAGAATAGGCAATTTTGCTCTAAAAGAGCATGAACAAGTGTTTTAATGTTTTGTGCTATGCCTGGAACTCTATGGGTGAGTGATAATAAATGGAGAATTTTCATTTGAAAAATAACAAAAAGAACAAAACAAAAAATTTGTATCAGTAAATAAAAAACATAATCTCTGGCCTTTCTGCCTTAAGTTTTTAACGATATGTAACAAAAACCAATACTTATAGAGCGCTAAGTATTTAAAAGAAGGCTTTGTATTCCTACAATGCTATACCCTGTATTTGGGGGTTTCCTTTACTCTAGACAATTCTGAAATAGACTACTCAGCGGTAACTTAGATCTCACAAGTTAGGGGCTCAGCACCCAGGATTGTCTCTACTTTAGGTGCCATTTTCAAGTCCAAGCTTGTCACCTGGACTTCCTCTCTTCTCCTATTCTTACATGCGTGCACACACATACATGCCTGTGTTAGGATTAAATTAAATCATCCAGGCCTCCCTGGTGGCGCAAGGGGTTAAGACACAAACTATGAAGTTGTCTGCAGCCTCTGCAGCAGGAGTTCGATCCCCAGCCGGGGAGCTACCCACATGGCGCAGGAGACCTCTCCTGCCTCGCCTGCTGCTCCCCTCAGCAGTGTATTTCAGTCAGTCTGCCTGTTCTGCTCCCCATTCTGTCTCTGTTGAGTCCTCTCACCCTCCACACCTCTGGCCTGTACCCCAGTTCTTTTATGCATAAATAATAAAAAAGAAAATTAAAAGAAATAAATTAAATCATCCATTCTCATGAAAACACTGAAATACTTTTCAAATCTCACTTCACCGTACAGGAAATCAGGGACCAGAATGATGGACTAAAACTCCCAGACTAGCACTTATTCTCTTATACCACGGGAGTATGGATTCCCCTCTTGCTTGCTCCTGCTAATGTGGATTCCCCTTCACTAATTCCTAATACAAATATTGTCAACCACTATTTCCATATTTATATACATGCTGCTTTGGATTGTGTAGCTTGTTTCCAGTCAGTTCTGTGTAGTTTATAAACTCTCGGTGGCATAAATTGAATAATATCACATATAATCTTCAAGATCAAATATAATCTTCACATATAATCAAGCAAGATCCCTAGCTGACCCTTCGTAAAGATCTGTTGGATGAATTATAAGAATGAATGTCCTTCTACACATACCAGTCCCTGGTCCTTTCAACCAATGGGAAGTGTCAAATGACAAAATCAAAACAAATTTTTAAAAATGTTTATTTATGCATACAAGAGCTGGGGTACAGGCCAGAGATGCGGGGGGTGAGAGGATTCACCAGAGACAGAGTGGAGAACAGAACAGGCAGACTGACTGAAATACACTGCTGAGGGGAGCAACGGGCAGACAGGAGAGGTCAGCTTTGCCATGTGGGTAGCTCCATGACCGGGGATGGAACTCGTGCTGCAGAGGCTTCGGATTGCTTCATAGTGTGGTGCTTAACCCCTTGCGCCACCAGGGAGGCCACAGGGAGGCCCAAAAAAATCAAAGCAATTTAATAACCAGTTGAAAGACCTTTATTCTAGGGAAAACAGTCTATAGATTGGCGGAGTGCAGTGCCTCACGTGCAATGGATCACTCTTCCTGAGGGATTTTGTGCATGAGCACATTTTATAGAGCCTTAAAAGTGGCAACTGCTCTCTCTCTTTTTTTTTTTTAATTGACATACATATTCCGGGTAGGCAATATAATGTTTTGGTATTTGTATAAGAACTGCTCTTTCGAGTATCTTTTCCTGTCCAGGCTTTTACCCCTTCTAGACTACTCCAGAGCTTTGCTTTCTGGTCTTCTTACCTTACTTCCTTCATATTAGAGGCAGATAAAAGCTCTAGTTATAGTTATTGTTAGCACAGAGTGATAATTTAACCAAAAACTTAACATTTTAAACCTCATATAATCATTTTATCATTTCATGGCTTCTGTAGGTAACTAATCCAGACAGACTTTGAGATTATCTCTGCACTACATACCTGGAGCCTCAGCTGGGAAGACTTGAATGTTGGGGGAGAGTTGATGGTTGGGGAGACAGGGGAATAGAACCATCTGGAGAAATATGTACTCACATATCTGGCAGGTGATGCTGGACTTCATCCAGACTGTTGGCCAAACACCCCTTTATGTGGTATGTGCCCCCTTATAGCACAGTGCCTGGGTTCCAATAACAACCATCCCAAGAGCAAGATTGAACTCTAACTTTTATGACCTATCTTGGTAGTCACATGGTGTACTTGTTACTGTATCAAGCCTACCCAGGTAGAGAGCAAGGGGATACAGAATCTCTCAATGGGAAGCATTGTAAGAGGAATGTGGGATGGGAGATTGTGAATCTTCATCACCCTAAAACATCACCTTTACCTTCCTTTACATAAGAAAAAAGTTCTGATATTCAAGGAGCTCTATAATTTATCCCCAAAGTTTTTCCTCCTTTACTTCCATAGTCTTCTCCATTTTTGCCAGAATCAAACTCCCTCTACTCTCTTTTAATTCAACTAATCTCTCTTCCTTTGACCTAAGAAATCCTTGCCTCTCACTTAAAATTCTTCCCACATGCTGAATTCCACAGGATGAACTAAGATGGAAGGGAACCCCAGAGATCCTTTAATTTACATTTCTGTTCGAGGATGCTTTCAGAGCACCACCTGTCTAGCTGTGGCCCTTTGCCATTTTGTCTTGATTCACCTCACCATGTGCCTGAGAAGCAGAAATGACACGAGAGGCTTAAAACACAATTCATTCTCAGGCTACCTCCTTTTCAAAGCTCAGATCCCGCATAATAATTTTGCAGCCAACATAAAAGGACACGTCCTGGCCCTGCAGCCCTCTTCTTGTAGGAAACTGAGTGACTACACATTAAACCAGACCTAGTCATCTTCTAGCCAGAAGGACCTAAACGTGAATTGTAGATGGTTTATATATGGACCAAAGCCAAGTAAGAGGGTGGCGAGATGGATAATGAACACATAAACCTATGACAGTTTCAGTAGAAAAGATAAATTGCTGTGTGTGTGTGGTGGTGGTAGGGCCAGGAAATCTTTTCTGAGGAGGTGAAAGGCAGAAGAGATGACCAAGGTGAATGTTCAAAGGTATGACACCTATGTTGTCCCAGAATGAGCTCCACCTGAGTGAAGCAAAATATAAGTGTTTATTTGGTGGTTTTATTAGAACCGTAGCCCAAGGAACACAGAACAAGAATCACAAGTTGTGAGCCCAAGCTGCTCTGACGTGGGAGTGCTTGTATGAACAGAAAAGAATGTTAGTCCACACTTGGGTCTACTCTGTGCAAATGAGGTGTTCAATCAGTGCGGTTCTAAGTAGTAGAAAGTCATGTCTAAGTAGTAGAAAGTCATGTCAAGCCATGGCTGGACAAACCAATCCTCGTTTGTCTGTGGCAGGCTGGTTTAGTTCAGCAAACCCAGGTACCTAGGCAGACGTGCCTGGGATCAGAACGTCAACCATTTGTTACCCAGACTCAAATGATGCCAAAATTTTTATATCTCTTGCTATTTGTAATTTGCTTTATCAATAAATGCATGTACTGGGGGCAAGTTGGGGTTAATTAGGCAGCTTCGGGGACAGTGCAGCCAGGGACTTCTGTGGAGTTAAAAGAGGCTTCTGTGACAAGGAGAGTAACTTTTAAGAGGTCCTAAGCAAAACATACACCAGAGATGAGGTCAGAATGTCCAGAAGGACTAAACAAAAACAGTAAAACTTGAACGACTAAGACCTTGGACAGGGAGGTGAGCTCTAAGGAGAGAGGGAGAGAGAGCCCACAGGACTTCTTTGCCTCTCCCAAGGACAGCGTACCTGGGAGTCCTCACTTTTTTCCTTCAAATAAACTTTTCTTTCTTAAGCAAAGTTTGTTTCTCTCTGCTTACGTAGCTAAAATGTCTGCAAATTCCTTTTTATGGCTTTGTGGGACAAGAGCCTGTGGTGGTTCAAGGGCTACAGTAACAGCGCACACTGGGGACACCAGCAATAAAAGTGGGAGCCAGATTGAAGAAGGGGAGGATAAGGAGAGGCAGGAGGAAGGACAAAGTTGGGCTTGAGACTAAAGGGGGTCCCCAGGAGAGGGGGAGGTTCCAGTTTCCCTGCCCCACCCAAGAGAGGGTGAAGCTGAGCAGGGAGAGAAGAAGCTGCAGAGGAGACTGAGAAGGAAGGAGCAGGATGGAGCCAGAAGGAGACCTGGAGGAGGCACATGGAGCCGAGAGCCACGTGAAGAAACTGCGCTAGCCTTGTGGTCGTGGACTGGGTGATGCAGATGTGGGGGAGAGGAGGTGACAATGGCAGCTTTTACCTTGATTTTGTTCTTTTCCTCCCAGAATTGTCTGGTTGTTTCTTACCCTTTTCTGTGCGTCCCCACTGGAAGGTATTTTAGACTTGGGGCAGCTTTGGAGCCTTGCTCTGGGCCAGTCCCGCTTGGGTGGACTTTTACCCATGAGGGGACGGGTAACTTTGGGTGCTTGATCTAGAAACTATATTCTTTGCCTTTCCTGTACTGTTTCCTAATTGTACTAAAGTTCCTTCCCATTAAAGTCTCATATGTTTTGTGCTGACCTGGCAGATGGCAGAACCTATTCAGAGCAGGTGGGTTTGGGAGCCTGGGGTGTCCCTCCCTGCCCAGTCACAGACATCAGGCTCTCCAGGCGATGTCCCAGAGCTGCCCTAGAAAGTGAAAGTGAAGGGCCTCCCCGGTGGCGCAGCGGTCGAGCACTGGGCTGCGAAGCTGCCCGCAGGCTCTGCAGCGCTGGTTCGATACCCCGCTGCTCCCTGACCACCAGGGGAGAGTCCCACATGGCTGGCAGACCTCTCCTGTCTCTCCCACTGCTCCCCTCAGCAGTGTACTTCGTCAGTCTGCCTGCTCCCCGCTCCGGCTCTAGTGAATCCTCTCACCCTCCCACACATCTGGCCTGTACCCCGGTTCTTGTATAAATAAATAAATAATCTTTAAAAAAAAAAGAGCTTAAAAAAAAAAAAAAGTGAAAGTGAAAATGGTGCAAAGGGGGGACTGGCTCTTCCCCAGGGCCGGGGTCTTCGCGCCACCTCCCCATGCTGCACTGCGCGGCGCGCCGGCTGGGGTGACGACAGGGACTCGGCACCCCAAGGACCGGCACCCCAAGGACCGGCACCCCAAGTCCCCAGCACCCACGAGGGCAGCTCCTTGCCCGCCCCCGACACTTCCGCTTCCGCCCCCCGACTGCGCAGGCGCGGGCGCCATATTGGCCGCGGACGCTCAGCACTGGCGGCGGCTTCTCTCCCCAATCCCGGAGCCTCCCTCTTCGGGGTCCTTTTCGGGTGAGCCTTTCGGGGGAGCTCGTGGGACGCGACTGCCCTCCGCGGGGCAGGGGTCGGGGGCGTCGCGCTGGAGCGCGGCCGGGCCTGCGGGCGCCGCCGGGAGCCGCGCGCACCATGACTCTGCACCCGCCTCCTCGGGCAGGTCCGACCGTGGGGCGCGCGGGGGGGGGGCGCGCGGGGGGCGGACGTGGGCCAGGGGGGCCGGGGGGGCGGGCGTGGGCCGGGGGGGGCCGGGGGGCGCGCGGGGGCGGGGGGGGGCGCGCGGGGAGGCGCGCGGCCTTGGAGAGCCGCAGCCCGGCCGGCCCGGCTGCCCGTGGCCCCGCGGCCTTCCCTGCCGGTGCACCCCCGGGCCGCCGCCGCCCGCGCTCTGAGCCACCGGCGCGTCCGGGCGGAGTCGCGGCGGCCTCTGTCGGGCTGCGGAGCCCCGCGGTCTCCGGGACGCGCACGGCGGGACCCGGCGCTCACCTGTCCGCCCCGCCGCGCTCCGTGTCGGGGGAGCGGGAGGCGGCCGACGCTTAACCTTTCACCCGCGCACCCCGAAGGAGCCCCGGTGCCGAGTTTTTCGGGAAGAGTCATGACGCCGCGGGTCCCCGCGCCCCGCGCGCTCGGGACCCAGAGCCCCCGGAGAGCCGCGCCCCTGACTGGCCGCGTGTTCGCAGACCTGGTGCTCGCCTGGCTCCGGCTCCGGCTCCGGCTCTAGCCCCGGCCCTTGGTCACGTTCTCTCCTCCCGGCATCCGCCTCTCCCAGCCCTTGCTCTTGGACTCGGAGGTTCTCGGCCTTATGTCGGCCTCACATCGCTCGTCTGGATTCATTTTCTCAGAAAGTCCCTGCTTCATTCCTCTCCCTGTTCAGCTCTTGGCTCCTGTCTGGTGTGTGTCTACACTTTGCTTTACAGTGGGTGCGGGCCTCCCTCGCCGGGCTAGTAGGCGGAGCTCAAGCAGGGAAATAAATTTTTTTCATTTGTAAGTTTCGTTTTAATACTTATCCTTTTTTCTTTTTACAGGAATTGTAGAAAGATAAGATAAAAGATGGTGAGTTTAAAACACATACCCACAGACTGTTGCCTGATAAACCATGTTGCTGGTGCTCACTTGGCAGACTTTTGCATGAGAAAAGTGAAATGGAAGAAAGAGATGGGAATGGTGTTTTCTTCCTTACAAGTTTCTTCTCATGCACTGCACTTAGTGGACCAGAATGTTCTATAAGATGATTTGTGGGCTTGCAGAAGGAATTGACTTGCTTTCAGTGGACAGGAATCACCTTTCTGTTTTTCCTTCACAGTCTCGAAGATATGACTCGAGGACCACTATATTTTCTCCAGAAGGTAAAAAAAGAAATTGCTTAATCTGCCTCAATTAAAAAAAAAAAATAAAGTATTTGACTTAAGGGGGAAATCTACAAACTTAGTTGGTTGTGACCACCAGGTTGCGTGGATATCATAGAAGAGTAAAAGTGGGTGAGATTCTTGTTTGTAGCCTGCCAGTGTTGTGCTTGTTTCTCTAGCCCTGGGGCGAGCGAGCAGAGGAGAGTTAGGTTTCACACTGCTTGTCTTTTGCAGGTCGCTTGTACCAAGTTGAATATGCCATGGAAGCTATTGGACATGCAGGCACCTGTTTGGGAATTTTAGCCAACGATGGTGTTCTGCTTGCAGCAGAGAGACGCAACATACACAAGCTTCTTGATGAAGTCTTTTTTTCTGAAAAAATTTATAAACTCAATGAGTAAGTAAGATCTTTAAGGAAGGCAGTTTAAAAATCTTACTTAATAAGTGTATTCCCCAGTGTTCTGGGAAGAAGGCTCTTCCTTTCGACGTGGTAGAATTGAAATGCACAGTGTATTGTGTTTTCACTCGAGAAAAGTTTTGCTGACAGCGCTTGAGGCCCAGGACCCTGTGTCATTTTTTTAAGTGCAAGGCTGTGCACTTAATGGGGCAGCAGCGCTCTGTAGTGACAAGACTTGGTACTCACACAGATTTGGGTTAATCTTAGCTCCACCGATATGAGCTGTGTGGCCTCGCACCACCTTCTCTGAGTCTCAGAGACTTCTAGTGTGGTTCTGGCAGTTAATGAGATAAGCTAATAGTCAGCTGTAAAAGCATTGCTTAAAATGACTTCTCGGAAGTTTTGTTGAATTATAATGAATCACCAAATGCCAGGTCTCCTGGAGGTCTGAGAACAGTTAAATGGAGCCCTGTACGCTTAGTAGGGTTTCTGTTCACTGGGTGTGCAGGGCTGTGCCTCTAGCAGAGAGCTGGATTATCTGATCAGAGACCTTCCCTCCAGTGCTGGTTATAAAGACCTTTTGACACACTCATCAGAGGAAATATCATCTGTTCATAGTCACTGTTGGTCCTGCTCGGCAGCTTGCAGGCTCGGCTCGGCGTGGAGACAGAGGGGATTGGGCTATAGGAGAGCCAGGGCAGTACTCAGGAACAGGAGCAGAGAAATGAAATGCACCCATAGTGTGGGCCTACCCTAGATCTCCTAGGCTGCCCTGGAAAACCACCTCCCCTCAGGTGCCCTCACCTTCACCCCCATCAACCCAGGGTTCAAAGAGATTAGATCACTTACTGCCCAAGAGAATGGGGTAGGTCGTATCCCTGTCTGGGAAAACCTTTCTATTTTGCTGCATCATCTCAGGATTTACTTTAGCCTCTTAGTATCCATCCTGTTGTACTGTTCACAGGGCCATGATGACAAATCACTGAAAAACTTCAGGGTGCACTAGTTTATCTTTCATGTGGCATGACCTCCAGTTTAAAGTCTCCTACAAAGATAAAACATAGTTTTTGTCTGAAGGGTGTAGCAGCTGTGAAAGCTAGCATTGTAAATTTCTAATAGAATTCGGTACTTTTTAGGACTTGTAAAGACCCCTTGCAAACATTTTCCTTGCTTTCAAATCATTGCCTGTCTTGCCTCCAGGGACATGGCTTGCAGTGTGGCAGGCATAACTTCAGATGCAAATGTTCTGACTAATGAACTGAGGCTCATTGCTCAAAGGTATGGTCATAAATAACATAATTGATGGTATTAACTTGGCTTGCGTGGTTTTTTTCTTTCAAAGATTTTTTTTTTTTTTATGCATACAAGGACTGGGGTGGAGGCCAGAGGTGTGGGGATGAGAGATTCACCAGAGACAGGGTGGGGAGCAGAAAAGGCAAACTGACTGAAATACACTGTTGAGGGGAGCAGCGGGCGAGTCAGGAGAGGTCTGCTGCACCATGTGGGTATGTCCCTAACTGGGGATCGAACTCATGCTGCAGTGGCTGCCGATAGCTTGATAGCACTTAGTCTTTGCTGTGCCACCAGGGAGGCCCAACGTGGCTTACATGTTTCTAAGGAGAACTCATTTTTGCAAAGATTGAAGTAATTTAAAATATATTAGAAAAAATAGATTTTTTTTAAACCCAAACTTGTAAAGTATTATTTACTGTAAGACGGTTAGCATGTTGATGTGCTTTTCTCCCACTTTCAAATTACAAATGACTATTATGTTGTCCCCTGGCATGGATTTCTTTTCAGAGGTATTTTGTTTAGAGTGTGTCTTTGTCTTAGAGAAAACTAATATGCCAATGTCTTTATCCTAGGTATTTATTACAGTATCAGGAACCGATCCCCTGTGAGCAGTTGGTTACAGCACTGTGTGATATCAAACAAGCTTATACACAGTTTGGAGGTATTGAAGTTTTTGGAAATTTTACTTCAGAAAGTAAAAATGTTTTATGAGTTATTCTTTTTGAGACAGTAAATGGAAAGTGAAGATTAGACAAGTAAACACTGTATGTTCCTGCTTCGTGACTTGACGTCCACTGTGTAAATTATCATAAGCTTTGTAAATAGACATTTGAAAGGCCAGAATAACATTTTCAAATCTGGAGGCAAATTGCTTTTTTCATAATAATGAAATTCAGCTGTGTTCCCTCTCCTGGCTGTGTCTAAATTAGAGAAACAAAAGTAGAATTTTGGGTGGCGCTTATCTCTATGCGGGCCAGAACACAGTGCAGTTTATGAATGCCTGACTTCACAGAAAAGGGTTTAACCACATTAACTGAGCTCGGGTAACTATAGTGATACTAAATTCAGGTTGCAAGTGTGTTTGACTTTTTTTCTTTGTTAAAGGAAAACGACCGTTTGGTGTTTCATTGTTGTACATTGGCTGGGATAAGCACTACGGCTTTCAGCTCTATCAGAGTGATCCTAGCGGAAATTATGGGGGATGGAAAGCCACATGCATTGGAAATAATAGCGCTGTGAGTATTTTTGTGGTACTATAAAATGCAGCAGAAGATCTGACAACTACCATAATTAAATAGCACTGAGTATAAACAGTATTGTAAGATTGCTGTAGCAGCCCTTACTATGATAGGGAAAATATCTGTGATTTCTATTTGTGACAGGGTTGCAGTACTGTTAGTACTACTGGGGTTTATTGTGTATGTTGTTAATGGGAGGAGATGCTAATTTTCAATGAGAAGTTCTGAAAATATGATGTATGTATTTTCTGTACACTGGTACACAGAACCCCTGAATTCTACCACGGATCCCTTTTTCAGAGGATCCAAGGACCCTAGTTGAAGACCCCATTCATAGAGCGCTGGCTCTATGTCACCCCTGTCACCCCATGGCATGTTTACCCTCCCTGCCATTAAAATTGTCTCTTTGGCTATAATGCGATAATACGGACCAGTCCTTATTCCAAAACATGAAAATTGAAAGGAAATTCTCTGTTGATTGTTTTTTACAGGCAGCTGTGTCGATGTTAAAACAAGACTACAAAGAAGGAGAAATGACTTTGAAGTCAGCACTTGCTTTAGCTATAAAAGTTCTAAATAAAACCATGGATGTTAGTAAACTGTCTGCTGAAAAAGGTAATTGATACATCCTCTCCCTCTCCTCTGACTTCATAGGCTACTTGAGAGGACTTGAGTGTTAATGTAGTTTACTGAACTAGTAACTTTATAGTTACTGTTTATATAGGTGGCCTGCTACCTGTTTCCTGAAGGACATAGGCTTAGTGAGGTTGCTTTGCTAAGCAAGGCAAGCATTGGTGAGCCGTGGCGCCACACTCCTGCACTGCATTCAGATTGGAGGACGAGGACCCGAATGTGCTCAGTGTTCATGGTTAGAACGCTGAGCTGTGTTACTTTTACTTTGTTATTATCTACCTCCTGACAGTGGTATCTGTCATGATGAACACACGTGCAGTTACATTTCTAGACACGGACACTTGCATGTTCTTCTGAGTCTTCCAATTTCTTACGTTGAAAATCAAATTTGTAATTTTAATTGCTTCCTTTCACTTGTTATATGACTATATAAAATAATATTTCTAAGTGATATTTCCAAAATGGTGATAAATTAATATTGAATTGGCTTAGGATAATTTATCTTCTGGTCTTAGAAAATGCCATTTCTTTAGGATTGCCCGCTGTTGGCTACTTCTACTTAATTTCAGGGAGTCACTGCTCAATTTCCCCTCCTTGCCGATCTCATTTTGGTATCAGCCTATTTGTCCATAGCCTTGGTGTAGCTGCTTTTCACACTTTTTTTAAAAGAGATTTGAAAAGTCCGTAAGAAGTATAATTACTGGTTATAGATTCTGACTGGTTAAAGATACTGGCTAAAGCTTTCAGACACTCTAACAGAGGAATTGCTCAGAAGGTTCAGATCGGGGAGGAGAAGAAAGATATTTAAATAGAAACATTATAGGGTCTAAGGTGTTCTGTTGATGTCCATAAAATATCCTGAATCATATTAAGCATACAACATGCAAGAGTGGTGATTTAAGACTGAAGGGAGGAGATGAAACTATGGTTGCCTATTAGGTTGTTTGCTACGTGTCCCTGCCTGTAACACAAATGTGTGTTTGCTTTAGTGGAAATTGCCACGCTGACAAGAGAGAATGGGAAGACGGTCATCAGAGTCCTCAAACAAAAGGAAGTGGAGCAGTTGATCAAAAAACATGAGGAAGAAGAAGCTAAAGCTGAACGAGAAAAGAAAGAAAAAGAACAAAAAGAAAAAGATAAATAAACAAAATCAGATTTTTCTAACTCATTTGGGAACCATTTCAGAGTAAAAGTTGTCCTCCTCTTCCACACTGAGAAAGCTTTGACTTTTTTTTAAACTTGTATAGTGGGAAAATAGGACATGACGAACTGAATTCGGTCCTTGTTGCTGTCCTGTTGAACACTTCATGGACATCCTAATCACCTTCTACCCTTTTTTTGGAATAAAACTTGGAAAGAATGGAAATTGTGAAGGAAACAATTTTGTAGCAATAATTGTTAAAGATACTAGGATTAATAGGGCTATGATCTTTCCATGCTTTATACTGTGGCAGCCCTTGCAATTACTTGCAAGTAAGAGTTAAAATTGACAAATGTAAACATCATAAAAAGAGAAAGATGGGACTATGCAGTAAGGATTTCCTTTGCTGTCATTCTATGCCATCGTGAAGCACCTTCGCACAATTTAGCAAAACTGAAAACTGTCCTGGCCTCTGATAGAGTAATTTGATGAGGCCTAACCTGGGAAACAATCACTTTACTGGGTATTGCAGTCTTTGATTTTGATGGGTATTCATACTGGAAAGTGGGAGCTGTGCTTACTTGAAACTGTGTGTGTGTGCACATGCATACATGTTACACATACATTAATAAATCATGGAAGACAAGTCAAATGAAAACCCTATGTACCCACTACCCAGCTTCAGAAACAGCCAGAACTTGTGTGTCTCTTTCAGTGCTCTTTCTGGGGAAGCGATTAATACTCTTGAGTTAATCCTCCTCTTAGGTGTAGTTTTCACACTGGTTCCGCCCCCCCCCCCCCCCCCCGTCCCACCTCCTTCCCCCCCTGCACCAGGTGGTCTGAGGAGGTCTATCAGAAAAAAATCCCACCCCTTCACAAAAGTAGGCACATTCCTGTGCCAGGTGATCTGCCTCCAGGGCTTAGTTTGAGAATGAACATGGGGGTCGCGGCAAAACCAGAGATGAGTGGGTAGAAGGAGGATTCCAAGCATCTTTCGGTGAGGGCTGAAGTGGTCCATGCCACGTGTTAGGTGCCGTGTTGCTCAGTTAATTTCTCTACTGTAGAGTCCTCTTTGGTAGAAGAGCAGTTGCTAGTCAGGAACTTCCCCATCACCTGATTTGCTAGAATTGCTAATTCTGGCTTCCTGTCAAAACAAAAATGTTGGCAAAGAACCCAGTGATCTGTTTTAATAGGCCCTGCATGTGTTTTTGTTTTTTTTTTTTTTGTGGGACCCTTGCCGGTGGCCAGGAATGAACCGGTGCTGGGCTGGGAGGCTGCACCACCAGGGGAGGCCCCTGCATGTGTTTTTTAATGCAAACTATGGCATGAGAAGTGCTTGGCTGCTTATTAGAATCTTCTGGAGAGCTGTTAAAACTACCTGGGCTATACCTTCACAGCATTTAAGCTCTGGCGTGGAACCCTCAGGAGCATTTTTGTAAAACTCCGGGTGATTGTCCTGAACTCAGAGCCAACGGTGCATGGAGCCTGAGCATACTTCCCAGTTGTCCAACAATGGGATGTGAGATTCTAGCCTTATTCCCATCATTCTCGTAGGAATTAGTGATTTCTTGCAATTTCTGTGCAGACTAGCTTCACGTATTCAAGCTACGGTATTCCAAAACCACTTCAACATAGTGCCTTTTTTTTTTTTAAGGTTTATTTTTTAATTTATGCATATAAGAACAGGTGTAAGCCACAGGTACAAGGGGTAGAGGATTCACCAGAGACAGTGGGGAGCAGAACAGGAGAATCTACTGAAACACACTGCTGAGGGGAGCAGTGAGACAGGAGGTCTCCTGCACCATGTGGGTCGTCTCCCTGGCCAGGGATCTAGCACTCATGCAGTAGTGGCTGCTGATCACTTGATAGCACTGAGACTTAAAACCCCTGCGCCACCAGGGAGGTCCTCTTCTAAATTATTCTTTTGCTCTCTAATCTCTACAGTTGATTTTTGTTATTTATGGTAGTTCTGTGAAGTTACCAGTTACACCGAATCAACAAAAGTTGAGCCACCGTCTTGATAGGAAAAGTATTTGTAAGCCTTTGGTCACATTTTCATTAATTGGTCAATACACCCTTGCTATGTTGATTTTGCTTCATGGTGTTTCTGTTTAAGGATATTTAATGTACGGACACTAAAACTGCCTGAGAGAGTAACATATTTTCTCTGTAATGCACGTCACAACCTTCCTGAACTTAGGAACAAACACTAGCTAGAACTTTAGCTGTATACCCCAGGGGGCCATTTTAAACAGCAAAATCAACAAAAATGCAAAAAGTGGCACAAAATAGACCAAAGGAATGCTTGCTCACAGGACAGTTGGAACAAAGCAGTGTCACCTTGTTTGAGCTCAGCTAGGAATGTTCACATCAGACTCTCTGGCTGCGTATCTGCAAATGACCACAAAAAGAGTGTGAGTGTTGATTCTGAGGTTACAAGAAAAATTTCCGCAAGCTCACCAATTTGCATATGTAGGAGAACAGCAAGGCTCCATGGTGCATCTTCCATGATGCTCTCAGGGTAAATCCTGTTGACTTTATCCATCTCCAGAGTAAATCCAGAACCCAATCATTTCCCACTGGAGGGAATTCTGGTCCAAGTCACCACTGTCTCTCACTGGGATTATTACAGCCCCTCGCTGATATCCCTGTTCCCCTCTCCTTCCCTACAGTCAGTTCTCAACACAGCATCCAGAGTGATCCTTCACAAATACAAGATCGTACTACTGCTTTGCTCAAAACTCTGTTTCCTAACGTTATGACAACTTCAAAGACTTAGTCGATAAGAAAGCTTAGCATATTTTACCACCATGCTAGGAGCAAGTGTTGAGTTTTAACAATGGACAAATTTCAATATATTCACCCTTTTGTTGAGATCAATCCACACGCATGGTAGGAGTAGGAGGGACTGCTCCTGCAACTGTTGTTTTGTTTTTTCTGCTTTGGTTTGCACTCAGCCCTTTCTTCCTCTGCATAATTTTGGCCCTTGGTTACAGAACCTTCTGTTTCCAGAGTGTTGCCTGATGCTTCCAGAATGTGGCCTTACTGACCCACATCTGCTCATGGGTTCCCCTGGCACTGCTACACAGAAGCACCTTGAGCAAAACACGGGAAACGAAAGAGCAAAATGTTTTCATCTAAAGTCAAAATTTTAAAATCAATCTTGAGTTAACTCCATTTTGGGGAGTTACAAATCATGCTTTGGAAAATAAATCATGTGGGGGAAAAATGTATTGCGGTGTATAATTTTACTTCTGGTGTTTTTCTTAATCCGCAAATAAGCAAAACTTTGGAACTTCTACAGTCTAGCACTCTGACAGTTGCAAGAAAATATTTGTTTTAGTGGTGCAAAAAATTCCTTGTTCAAAAAACGATCATGTCTTTGTTTCTTATACTTAACCATTTTCCTGGTACTTTTAGGTGATGGACATTTGTGGATGTGTAAGGCATGTCCTCGGTTCTAAATATGCAGTCTTTCTGGAAAGGCAGGGCTGTAATCAATTATTGAATAATGTGGCTGATGTGCTAGACTCCAGGTGGTTGTATCTGCAGGCTGGCGAGTAAAGGCAGAAGGAGCAGCATGTGCAAGTCTGGTAGTGAGAAAGTGTCATGTATTTATGGAAAGCCAGTAGCTGAACAGAGCTACAGCACAGCTTGTTGGGGAAGATGGGTAATGACAAAGATGAGGCTGAAGATAAGCAATGAGAAGACAGCTTTGCAGAATTTGAAGTTTGTGTCATATGCAATGCAGAGACTGCTGAGATTTTTGAGTTAATGAGAGAAATAATTACTCTAGTTTTCAAAGTCCAGAAGATGGATTAGGTGAGAAGAGACAGAACACAGGGAGAACAGTTAGGAGACTAAAGAAGAGATGAGGTGAGGAAGGCAGAGGGTTTTAGAGAATGTGTGTAAGGGACCGCCCTGGGGGATGCTTTCTAAGAGTGGAGGCTGAATAATGCTTCGGGTCTAACTCAGAAAAGTAGTCACAATCTGATCTATGAAGGCATTAACATGAGGAACTACTTTTAAAATTTCCTAATGTCTTTCCTAATTTCCTAATGTCCAACAGTGTTGTTTTGACTTGAGATCCAGTAGAAACTAGTATCAATGGTGGGAAGAAGTCTATGAAAAACATCGTGCATACGCTGTGGGCAAAAACCCCACCCTATTTTCTTCCAGTTATTGCTCATCTATATTCTTCTGTACACTGTCAGTCTAGTTCCTTTGCCCAATTTTCTGTCGCAGCAGTTAATATTTCATTGATGAGCTCACTTAAGGATGGCTCTTTGTCATCTATGTTACAAATATTTTCCTGCTTACATTTTTCGTGATGCTGATACAGCTGAAGGCTTTTTGTGTCTCTATAGGCAAAGCTAGCAATCGCTGACAGCTGTTAGATGATGCATATATTTCCAGTTCCAATGTATATAAACATTATTCTAGTTAATTTATGATTTTATTGGCTTATCAGACACAATTTATATAATTCGTATCTATTTTTTTACTCCAAGAAAATTTTATTTTGCACATCACTAGACATTGTCATTAGTTACTGCATAAATGCTGCTCGTGCTGTTATCCAAATGACATGACCATTTTATGTCCACAGTCCACTTTTATAGCATCAAAGAGAATTTTCATGACTTACATAGGTGTATTTATCAGTGAACGTTTAAGTGAGGTGCAAGTTAACATCTGTAATATCTGATGATTTTCACATAGCAATGTAGGCCTATTTTTAATCACCTTTCAGTTGAGTTACCAAATGTAAAAAATAATCAATAATTTGGAAATTCTAGAAGTTTCCAATGCACTTAAAAAATTGTTGCAGTGAGGTTTTTAAGAGCTATCTTCCATGTCCACATCCTGTTGTAGTTTCTACACCCTTTTTTTCTTCCAGTTGCTTTCCTTTGTCCAGTAAGATGGGTGTTTTGTTTGGTGTCTCTGATATGCTGAAATTTCTGTGGTCCTTTACTTTTCTTTAGTGTGTTCATTAAGAATTTAACTTGGTAATTGTTTGATCCTCTTCAACTCTCTTCAGTGCAGCAATAGTTTTACTCCATAGCTCTTGCTGGTGTTTGAGAGACTCATTTCTATGTTTTTCAAATTCATATGAATTTCCACTGTAAGCTTTTTACTAGCTATTTTCTAGAATGCTTTCATCCACCTGACTTTTTGAGGACTACACTTCTTTTGAACATTTTTATCACACTGGCTTTACAGAATCTGAACACCTTTCCATCATTGTAGAAGAACATGGTTCCCTGACCATTTTATGCCCTGGAAGAGAAATGACACGACTCCATGTGCATGTGAAAACCACTGGGTAGCCTTTGGTTAAAGGAGGAGCCTGAGGGGCCTCCCTGGTGGCCTAAGAGTTAAGTCTCAGCGCTATCACTGCTGCTGCCTGAGTTCAGATCCCCGGCCAAGGAGCTACCCACATGGCGCAGCAGACCTCTCCTGTCTCATCTGCTGCTCCCCTCAGCAGTGTATTTCAGTGGATCTGCCTGTTCTGTTCCCCACTCTGTCTCTGGTGGATTCTCTCACCCCACACTCCTGACCTGTACCCCAGTTCCTCTATATAAACTTAAATAAAATCTTTAAAAAAAAAAAAAAAAAAGCAAAGGAGGAACTTGAGAGTAAGTGACCTGATGTGGAAT